GTCCAACGTTGAATTAGTTGGGGTCCAATGTTGAATTAGTAAGGTCCAATATAACTTCCAGATACTAGAGGGTTAATGTTAAAAAAAAAAAGTTTTTTTTTTCTTTTAAGGCTTAATAAATAAAGAAATATTTAAGAATCACAATTTTTAATTAATTAAATTGACACAAGGTTAATTTCATTTCGAATCATATCATTATTTGTTGAACTCTTTATGTAGGTCCTAAATATTTTCTCTATGTTTGAAATGGTCCTTGAAACTCATACTATAAAAGTAAAATTTTTAACAAATAAAAATTAGAATACCATATTAAATATTTTTCAAAAGTTTAGGGAGCCGGCTGCCCTCCTCGTCAATGATTGGCCCCGTCCCTGCTCCCAAACCCATCATTTCCCCACCAGATATTATAACCTTTACTCACCATATGTTTTAACCTTACAAATACTTACTAACTGTTTTATTTACAGGTTTTGAGCAAAATTTCATCTTCAAAAGTGAGAAGTGTGATCCTATTAAAACTGTGGGCACCTTGGGCCTCCTTGTTGTTAACAATATTACCCTTTTCTGATGAAAAAAATTTATTCTTCAAACTATTCAAAAAAATTAATCTCTAAAAATGCATTTGAATAAAAATTAGGCTTAATGGCATTCAAAATACTCCAACTTAACAAAAGAAGTCATTTTCATCCCTTTACTTTAAAGGATTCATAAAAAGCCTTCAACTTTGTAGAGAATACCAATTATCATCCTTCCGGCGGACATAATACATGGTACAGTCGGCTGTTAAAATTCTCTAAATTATAACGGTAAAATAATATTGTTAGTCCCTTAACTTTCAGTTTCTACACTCTTTGATCCTTAATCTTTAATCTTATTCAATATGTTCTACTATTTCAAGTTTTCTTATTACAATTTAGTCCCTATATGTTTGAATTAGTTGCATTTAAGTCTCAAAATTTCTAAAATTATGTGTTTCAGTTCTTTTTTTTGCACAAAGAGTAGAAAATAAAAAAATCATATAACTTCTAATAAAATCATCTTCAACATCAACTCATTCAAATATCAATAAAATCAAGCCCAGACTAATAAATTAAAATATAAAAATTTCATATCATTAAGATGAAAAATCAAGTCTTTAATACTCACTTATACTAAAAATGTCTTTTATAACCAAATTTGTGTAAATTATTAAAATCCAACGGATGAAGTGGGTATAACTTATAAGTGTGGGATAAATGTGGTCTTACAAATATCATGGACTTATAAGAACTTGGGGCATTATTTCTATGGTTATAAGTCTATAACAAGGAAATCAAGGCAAGCATCTTCATTTTACCTTTTTATTTTCATATTGTTATTGTTCTTTTTTCTTTTTCTTTTTTTGACATGAGTTATGTATATATAGAAAGTTAAATGTCCTTTTTTTATATTTAAGGATCCTAAATTAAATATCAAAGACTTTTTTTTGTTTATTAAGAGGAATTTTATATATTTTAGTTTACTATTTTAACCTTAAATTCATTGATATTTGGATAAGTTAAAAATGACTTTATTAGATTTTACATGATTTTACAATTTGTGTTAAAAAGGGATTAAAATACTTGAAAATAGAAAATTTTGGGACTTAATTGTAATCTTTTACAAATTTTAGTGACTAAATTCCAATGAGAAAAATTGAGTTTAGGGACCAAATTGATTAAAATTTAAGTTCAGTATCAAAGTACATAAAAACTAAAAGATGAGGCACCAATAAACTCGTTTTACCATTAAAATTTGTATGATATTAACGGACAAATGGACGGCTTTATAACGCCGGTTGACGGAGGGATGATGCTTGCCCTTTTTCGAAAGTTAAGAGATTTTTATAAATTGTTTAAAATAGAAAGATGACAATGACTTCTTTTACAAAGTTAGGGGTTTTTTGGTCATATTAGAAAAGGTTAGCAGCTGGCCAATTAGCGGAGCTCGAGTGGTTACGCCATGGTGAAACTCAGTGAACTCGCAAGTCGAGCACTGAACCTCATTTATTTTGAGCTCAATAAACAATCAGTGAATTAGATGATGACTTGGCATGTTACTGCCATTAGTGGGTCCAATTCGTTGATATGGATTACTTAATGGGCTCAAAGGATGACATGGCATGCTACTGCCGTTAAAATTCACTTGCGTTCTTTTTTTTTAGGAAAATGTTTAATAAACACTTGATTTAATATATTTTTTATATTTATTTTAATTTAATTATTAAAATATAACATAAATATAATTAATTTAATTAATT